GATGATGAAGTCGAACTCTTGCAGCCGCATAGCCCAACGCGCGTTGCGTCCTGTCAGCGTCTGATTGCTCATGAGCCAGAGGAGCGGTTGATGATCTGTCACGAGGGTGAACTCCCTGCCTTGCAAGTACACACAGAAATGCGTGACCGCCCACACCGCCGCCAAGCCTTCCCCCTCGTAGGAGCTGTAGTTAGATTCTGCTGCGTTGCATTCCCGGCTGGCAAATGCCACTACTTGTTCCCCTACTTCTGCCTGCTGGCAGAGCACGGCTCCCATGCCTGCGCTGCTCCAGTCCGTGTAGAGGGCGAACCTCCTGTCCGGCTTGGGCAGCTGCAGTACTGGCCCGGATTTCACTACTTCCAGCAGCTCCTGTAGTGCCCCCTACTCTGCCTTGCCCCACGTCCACGCCACGTCTTCTCACAGCAGCTAATTTAGGGGCGCCGTGCGCTTGCTGAAGTTTGGGACAAACTTCCTGTAGTAGTTTAGGAAACCCAAGATGGCCCTCAGTGTGCTGCGACTATCTGGTATGGCCAGCCGGTCCAGCACTGCCACTTTCGCTTCCTGGATACTCATGCGCCCTCCGCATACTTCAAAACCGAGGTACTGCACGGTCAGTGAGCCGAAGTGACATTTCTTGGGGTGGCAGGTGAGTCCTGCGGCTTTGATGGCTTCCAGCACCTCCTTGACGTCTGTGACATGCTGTTCGCCTGTCGTGCTGAACACGACGACGTCGTCAATATAGTAGGCTGCGCGGGGCTGCAGGCCCCATAGCACGCGGTCCATTGCTCGCTGGAAGACTGCTAACGCGTTTGCAGCCCGAAGGGCATGAAAAGCCATTCATAGAGCCCGTCCGGCCCGTGAAAGGCTGTCTTGCGCACATCACCCTCTGCGATCTTGATCTGATTGAAACCTTGGCGCTGATCCAAGGTGCTGAAGACGCAGGCTCCCTGCAGCTTATCAAAGACGTCTTCAGGGGTGGACATGGGGTAACGGTCCGCCACCGTCATCTTGTTGAGATCCCGGTAATCTCCACACATCCGCCGGGAGAGTGCACTCCCCGTCAGGTCCTTCCTCGCGGCAACCACTGTCGCCGCCGCATACTCTGACTCCGAAGGCCTAATTAGGCCCACCTCTAGCAGCTCCTTGCATTTTGCGGTGCAGATCTCCAGGTCCCCTGGGCTCATGCGCCTCTTGCGTTGGTACACCAGTATCTCCTCTGTGAGCTTGATTTGCATCTCTCCCTGAGTGTACTTCCCTAGCTCCAGCAGCGTGAACGCAAAGGCCTTGCGATTCTTCCTCAGCACTTGCCACAGCTGAGCCCGGGCTGCACCTAGCACCCCTTCCCCTATCTCCCATTCCACTTCCTCTTCCCCCGGCCCGTCTCCCTCTTCTGCCTCGTTCTGTCGTGCTTCCCTGTGTGCCTCGCTGACCGACTCCTGCATTGGCCCCTCTCTGCGCTGCTCCTCTCTTGCCGTTGCTGCTTCGGACTGGAGTGGTGTTCCTCCCACTGGGACACCCGCGCCTGCTGTCTCAGTCTGACTTTCCTGGCTCGCCGCAGCGCAGGCGCTCCTTGCCTCTCCCTCCTCCCTGGCCGGTTCGACTTCCCTAGCCATCATGGCCCACCCCTTCTCTCTTTGCAGTTGCCTTTCCACTTGCAGTTCTAGCAGCGTCTGTTCTGCCCTCTGCTCGCTGACTGCTACCTCCACCTCCGTGCCGTCCCCGGGCCCTCCAACTTCTGCCTCCATCTCCAGCTGCTTCTTCACCAGGTGTTGAATGACGTGGACGAGGCAGTGCATGGCCTCCGCGTCCATGGCTCGGCCCAGTGCCTCCCTTCATGCCTTTTCCTCCACGCCAGGAGCCGCGGTGGTGTCAGGCAAAAACCCCATGGCCAACTCCCTCTCTCTCGCCGTGGGTTCCTCCCAAACCCCTCGCACGTTACCGTAGACCATACCGGGCCCAGGCAGTCCTTCGCTCCAAATGAACCCATAGGTTCCTTGGTATGCCACCAGCGTGGGCCAGGCTTCCTCCAGTACTGGGCTTTCTCGCTTCACAAAATGCACTGGCAGTGTCCCGACAGGGCCGTCATTCCTCCAGTATTGGGCGCGGTAGAGCACCTTCTCCTGCCAGGTGCAAATCATGGCTCCGATGCGGTACAGTAGATCCATGCCTATCAACAGATCGTAGTCCTCCGAAGGCGTCACCCCGCACTTCACGCGGACTATGCACTCGTCCTTGGTTCCCGGGCGCAAGATGACTTCCACCGGCTGCCTCGTGCACGGCATCCACTTCGGCTCGCCGCCTTCCGCGGTCATGACCAGGATGCCGCGGTCATTCAAGCGATTGGGTAGGTCCAGCTCCAGCTTCTGCGCAAAACCTTTTCCCAACAGAATATGGTGTGCGCCCGTGTCAATGATCGCCTGCACCACCACGACTCCTCCCATGGTAATTCCCCCCTTTTCTATGGTCAGGACTGAGGGCTGGCACACCATCCACTCCTTGGGGTGCCGTTCCGATGTCATTTCTTGCTCTGGCTCTGCCGCGTATCCTCCGAACCTTCGCACGCCTGTCACCTCTAGCTCTGGCCTTCTGCGGCTGTCACTCCTGAGCTCGATCTCGACCCTCTGCCTAGGCGGACGAACCATGAGCACGAACTCCGCCTCGTTGTCGTCACTCCCGTCCTCGTCCTTGGCCAGCATCGCCGCCTCTTTGCGGGCCCCCCCTTCCATTTATTGTATTCTTGCCTGCAGCTGCTTCAACTGGATCTCCAGCTCTTCCTTGGTCCTGGGCCCTGCCGAGCCCGGCCGGCGGCTGTAACAGTCCTGCGTGCGGTGCCCGCGGCGGTTGCAGTTCTGACAGACTGGCACCTCCGGGCATTCCCTGCGCATGTGTCCTTCCTTCCTGCAGGGGTCGCAGATGGGAGGCCTTGTGCAATCCCGCTGCAGATGTCCTTCTTGCCCGCACCGGTGGCACCTCCGGGTCTCTCCTTCCCTTTCTCCCCTCCTGGGAGGGAGCTCCCCTGGTGGCGCTGCCATCCACGCTGACCTCCTGCGGTCCTCCACTTGCGTCTCCCCCTTCTCCATCTCGTACAGACGCATGCCCAGCTCGTGCTTCTTCGCCAGCTCGTAGGCTTGCTCCAGCGTGGCCGCGGCTCCCATCTCGAAGATTCTTCCTCGCACTTCTCTCGCGAGTTCTTTACTCAGGCTCGTGAGGAACTTGGTGACCAATCTTCTCTCGTCGCGGCACTCCATGTCCGAGGCGAGCTCCCGCAGTCTCCCGTAACACGCGAGCAGTGATTCTCCCTCCCGTCGGCGAAAGTCGGCGAACTCTCTCATGCGCTGGGGCGTCTGCACCGGGAAGTGTCGTTGTAGCATTTCGAATAACTGCGGCACCACCTCCCACGCGATTCCCCTTGTTTGGCCCGCCTCGCTGAGCAGACGTTCCAGCTCCAATCCATAGGCCGTTGTTTCGGCTTCCCCCGTCACCGTGTTTGACAGCCCGCGGAAGAAATCTTTCGGCTCCAACCCGTCCTTCATCCAGCGATACTGCGCGTTTCGGATCTGCATCATGTAGTTGCGCAACGAGCTACCCAGTCCTAATGTGCCAGCGAAGCGTTCCGGCACTTCGATCTTGGGAAGTGCTGCGTATCGGGCGGGGGTGTGCGTGATTTCCGTGGGATGATGCTCCGACATCGAGATGCGTCGCGTCTGCGGCAGCAGGCCCGTGGTCGTCTCGCTCGCCTCCTGACTGTCTTCGGTCAACGACGTGGTTCCTGCTGTGATTACCTCCGCGAAAGGTTGTTCCGTGAGCCCTCATTGTCCTCCGCTGCCACCGCTCGGCAGGTCACTCATGCTGTGCCACCGATGCGGCGCGGTGTACGGTTCCCTGCCAGGTGCAACTCCTAAGGGTGGAGCCCTTGCTCCGCCTTCTGTTCCCACCACTTCTCCGGCTCTTCATCCTGGAGTCGCCATTGGCGCAGGCTCGTATGTAGGTTCATACAGATTGCCCGATCTAAGCTGCATCCGCACTCCTACCGTCGCAACTCTGGGCCCTCTCTTCTTTATTTGTCGGAAAAGCTCACTAACCCATAAACTTGTCTAGCTGTTTGGCTTCCGCTTACTTGAGGCCGGTGTTTGGGTTTACAGGATCCATTATCAGAAATGCAGAAAACAAACAAAGAAGCAGTGAGCTCAACCCCTAGGTCAAAGCTTTGTACAAGATGTTGCTGGCGTAGCACGGAACTCTAGCTGCTGAGCACACACAAGCAAACAAACATCCATCAAGGTGCCGCGAGGTTCGGGAGCGCCCGAGGCTATGTACAAGTCGCCAGCGGATTGTGGTAGCATGGGCGTTTGCACAGGTGCAAGGCCCAACTGTCACGGCTCCAGCATGTGCTGTTGCGTTATTCACCAGCTAACAGGCTGCTGCTCTTATTCTCGTTTGCAGCTCCTCGCTATGGTTTGGTAGCACCTGCAGACACAGGAAAGGAAACAAGCTCATACCACGCGCATTCACACACCGATCCGACATGCCATGCTTATGTACAGTGCACGTTCATACGCAGCCCAATCTCCCCGCTTCCCCCCCATTGTGCCTCATGCCTTGCTACACGTCCAGTCGCTCCTGTACAGTGCGCTTCTCGTACGCCTCCTCACTTATGTCGTTTCTGCTGTTTCAGTATTACTCTGCCCGCCTGGTAGAGCTCTGCCGGTCAGCGTAATTCTGTGACAACTGCTATGGATTGTACTGTAAGTCTCAACACTGACACGTGGCAGACACTTACAGCTGACACGTGGCCCAGAGGCAGAAGCTCGTCCGAGTCTCCCCTCCACCTTGACGTTGGGAATCACAACGGGTGGGAGGCCCTGATATGAGAGGCACGCATGGTTGGGAATGGGGGGCAGGGGAGCAGGAAAGGTGGGAGGGAGAGAGAGCAAGGGGGGCTGGCTGGCTTGTGGGTGCACTCCAAAGTTTTGAGTCGTCTCAAAACCACTCTGTTTACATTACAGGCAGAAGCTCGTCCGAGTCTCCCCTCCACCTTGACGTTGGGAATCACAACGGGTGGGAGGCCCTGATATGAGAGGCACGCATGGTTGGGAATGGGGCAGATGACAGGAGAGGTGGCGAGGGTGGGGAATGGGGCAGAGGCGCGGGAGAGGTGGGAGAGGAAGCAGCTCGTCCGAATCTTCCACCTTTACATCGGGAATCGCAACGGGTGGGAGGACCTGATATGATATGGGAGGCGTGGTGGGGAATGGGGCAGAGGAGCGGGAGAAGTGGCGAGAGGGTGGGAGGAAGAGGAGGGAGGCATGGTGGGTGATGGGGCTAGTGAGCAAGAGAAGAGGGACGGACGGGAGCCAAAAGAGGAAGGAAAGATAGTGTTGAGTCTACTGGGAATTGATCTCGGAAAAGCATAGGGTGGAAAGAAGCGAGCCTTCCGCCTTGACGAGGGGGTCGCAACAGGTGGGAGGCAGGTGTGGTAAGGAATGAGCCAGAGGAGTGGGAAAGCTGGCGATAGGAAGAGGTGGAAGGGAGAGAGGAGGGAGGGAGAAAGAAGGGAGGAAGGGAGGTGGGAGGGAGAGGTGTGGAAGGGAGAGGTGAGGGAGGAAGAAGGTAGGGAAAGGAGTGCGAGGGAGAGAGGAGTGGAGAAAGAGAGATTGGAGGGAGGGAGGGAGGGAGGGAGAGAGGTGGGAGGGAGAGAGGTGGGAGGGAGAGAGGTGGGAGGGAGAGAGGAGAAAGGGAGAGAGGAGGGGGGGAGAGAGGTGGGAGAGAGAGAGAGGTGGGAGGGAGAGAGGAGGGAGGGAGAGAGGTGGGAGGGAGAGAGGTGGGTGGGAGACAGGAGGGGGGGAGAGATGAGACAGGAAGCGAGGAAGGAGGGAGGTGAGAGAGAGAGAGAGAGAGAGAGGTGGGAGGGGAAAAGGAGAGAGCGAGAAGGGTGATGGGCCAAAACCCTAAAGCCCTTGAACCAGCCATTCACCGGCTCCCCCCTGTTCCCCCCACGTGCAGTCAAGCCCACCCAAGTGAAACCCTTACTCTTTAAATCCACACGCCATTCGCTTTGAGAAACGCATATGATGGGGGAAATATACAGGGGCATGAGAGGGCAGCAAGAGGGTGAGGTGAGGTGGTGGCGGGGTGGTCGATTTGGTGAGGTGAGGGGGATGAGAGATGGACTGTCAGTGAAACGCCTGGCAAGGAAACAGACAGGGACAGGAGAGGGAGAGGGAGAGAGGTTGAGGTGGTGGCGGGGCGGTCGATTTGGATTTCCACCACCTCGCCTTGCACTATTTCGGTTTCCTTGCGACACCCCTGGCAAAGCGGAGGAAAGAGGGAAGGGGGATGAGAAGGGAAAGAGGGAAGGGGGATGAGAGAGGAAAGAGGGAAGGGGGATGAGAGAGGAAAGAGGGAAGGGGGATGAGAAGGGAAAGAGGGAAGGGGGATGAGAGAGGAAAGAGGGAAGGGGGATGAGAGAGGAAAGAGGGAAGGGGGATGAGAAGGGAAAGAGGGAAGGGGGATGCGAGAGGAAAGAGGGAAGGGGGATGAGAGAGGAAAGAGGGAAGGGGGATGCGAGAGGAAAGAGGGAAGGGGGATGCGAGAGGAAAGAGGGAAGGGGGATGAGAGAGGAAAGAGGGAAGGGGGATGAAAGAGGAAAGAGGGAAGGGGGATGCGAGAGGAAAGAGGGAAGGGGGATGAGAGAGGAAAGAGGGAAGGGGGATGATGAGGAGGATGAGACGAGCGACGGACTGCTGGCGTGGCGTATTTAGATCTCCACCACCTCGCCTTCTATGATCTCCGTCTCCTCTTTGATCCGCACGCCTGTGTTGTGGGAGGGATGGGAGGAAAGAGGGAAGAAGGGAGAGCGGGGTGGGAGACGGACTGTGAGCATGTTTGAATCTCCACCACCTCGCCTTCTATGATCTCCGTCTCCTCTTTGATCTGCAAGCCAATCGCCTGGCGAAACACCTGCGATAGGGCGAGGGATGGGAGGGATAGGTTTGGGGTTTGGGAAAGGGTTTGGGAAGGGTTTCAGGGTTTGGAAATGGAGAATGGAGGGGTTGAAAGAGGGAGGGAAGGGGGTTTGTGAGAGGAAGATGGTGTCAAGTGACGATGCACATCAGACGGCGCACGAGATGCAGGGAGACAAAGATAGTCAGGACCTCATCTTCGTTATAGGCTGATGCGCTGCTCGCACATCTCATGCCTAACCTACTCCCTAAACCTTGTTATCAAAGCAGGGAGATGCGCATGCGCGGAGTCGAGGGGAAATGCGCATCAGACGGCGCAAGGGATGTGGGGAGACGAGGATCGCGAGGAGCTCATCCTCGTTAAAAGGCTGATGCGCTCCTCACAGGGCTCTCTCGTACTCAGCCCCCTACCGAGCTGACTTTTGAGTCGACTCAAAAGTCATAAGTTTTTAGTCGACTCAAAAGTCAGCTCGTACTCAGCCCCGTACCCAAAACCCTGTCCACAAATCCCTCTTTCCACCTTCCCTTCTACTTCGATTCTCCCCAGCCCCCACACCTTTCCCGCCAAACCCCTCTTCCCCATCCCCCTTGGCAACCCACCCTTCTTCCGCATCTCCCCGTATCCCCCTGTCCCCCCGGTCCCCTCACAAAGTGCGCCTCGGGTCAGCAAGCACCTGGGTCAACGCTTCGGTCTTGGACATCTCGAGCGAAAATATTTCGCTGCCCGCGGTCATCGCGAAAGGCGTCTCCTCGCCGAGCGCTTTCGCCATCCCCATCGCGATCGGCGTTTTCCCGGATCCGGGCTGCCCGGCTAACAGAATTCACTGGCCTGCGATTTTCCTTCCTTGATCATCGCCAGGATAATTCCAGCTGCCCGACGAGCCCTTTCCTGCCCGACAATGCCCTGCGACACGCCTCGCGCTTCCAACGTGTCGTCTAGCCCCAGCCCGCGGATGTGCGAGTGCGCGCCGATTCGCTCGACTAGGTCTTTAATCTTTGATACTTTATCATCCGCCACGATGCGAGCTAACTGGCTGGCGGACCAGTTGACGAATAAGAACAACTAGAGGCGAATCGAAATAACAGCGCAGGGGAACAGGAGACTCTGAATTGCCAAAAAGGTCTCGACCCTGAGCGAAGTGCGAGTTGCAAATTACAACTTCGGGTTCTGCTCGCGAATCAAAACCAGGGCTCCCAATCAAATTTGAACTTCGGTGAACTCGCTGTTGTGAAATGAATGCGATGCTAACCCCGTCTCTAAACACTACCCGAACTCGACCTCCTATTTTAGGGAGGCCACTAATTTAGGGCTGGTGTCAATACGGAAACCCTACTACAGCATGCGAACTTCTCGTTCAACACACCTGGTTACAAGAAAATCAAGACCTTGAACGATGCTATATGTCAGCTCGTTTCAGCATGTATACATATCGAGCGACTCTGTGTCGAAGCACAAATTCTCAACTTGGACAATTTTGAATCCGCTGGACCAAGTTCGCTGGATACCGAAGGCACCAGTCCCAGTTCGAAGCACTCACGAAACCAAACATTCGACCGACTGCCCCGGGCTGACGTGGTATGCGCTGATTCAGTTACTAAAAAATCGCAAGGAACCTCACCTAAAAACTTCGCACTTTCCCAAATGCGAATCGCGTATCATCCGCGCCTCGATTTCACACTCGAACCAATTTTGGCACTAGGATTCAAGTTTGTCTCTCCCCAAATCTAACATAAATACCCCTCGACACAAGCAGCATAGTCAAACCAGCTTCATTCTTCCTTCTACCATCAGCAGCCAGCCCGCTTTCCAGCTTGCGCTCAGCCCACCGCCAGCATCATGGCTGCTCTCTCCTCCACCACCGCTGCTTCCGCCGCTTCCTCGTTCGTCGGCTCGAGCGCGGAGCTCGCGGCGAAGGTCCGCAACGTGGAGTGTCGCGTCACGATGCGCAAGACCGTCAGCAAGGCCGCTGACAACCTGAGCCAGTGGTACGGCCCGGATCGCAGCCTCTTCCTTGGCCCGTTCAGCGCGCCGTCCGCGTACCTGAAGGGCGAGTTCCCCGGCGACTACGGGTGGGACACGGCGGGGCTGTCGTCGGACCCCGAGACGTTCGCCAAGAACCGCGAGCTGGAGGTGATTCACTCGCGCTGGGGCATGCTCGGCGCGCTTGGCATCGTCTTCCCCGAGCTGCTGGCGCGCAACGGCGTGCCGCTGCAAGAGGCGGTGTGGTTCAAGGCGGGCGCGCAGATCTTTTCCGAGGGCGGGCTCGACTACCTGGGCAACCCCGCGCTCATCCACGCGCAGAGCATCCTCGCCACGCTCGCCGTCCAGGTGCGCTAAAATATAACATTTTCTCTCACATTCATTGCTTTTTCTCGACGTCAAAGAGAGGTTCGTCCAGTCGTTTGCACGGGTCCTACTCCGTCGGAAAACAGATCGCCTCGAAATAATTTGTTGCGTCAATTTCTGCGTCGATTTTGAATTAGCCCGCTCGACGAGATCTCACGCTTGTGACGTGGTAACCCGATGCGTCGTTGCCCAGGTGGTGCTTCTGGGCGCAGTGGAGAGCTACCGCGTGGGCGGTTTGGAGGGGTTCCAGGAGGTGGAGGATCCGATCTACCCGGGCGGCGCGTTCGACCCGCTGGGATTGGCGGACGATCCCGACGCGGCGGCGGAGCTGAAGGTGAAGGAGCTCAAGAACGGGCGCCTCGCGCAGGTGTCGGCGCTGGGCTTCTTCGTGCAGGCCATCGTGACGGGCAAGGGGCCCCTCGAGAACCTCGCGGACCACCTCGCCGACCCCACCGCCAACAACGCGTGGGCCTACGCGCAGAACTTCGTCCCTGGGGCTTAGAGGAGTGGGGAGAGATTTGACGAGATTGGGGGAGGTTTGGAGGGAGTTCCAAGAGATTGAGGTGCCAGGATGTCTGGGATTTGGTAAAATTGCACATATCTGTACAGCCAGGATTTGTGTGTGATGTACGGTACTTTGAGTTTGGTCTGAATCCTATGTACTCTTTCTTCCTGAGTTTTTTTACAACACAACTCTACTTGAGGTGAATCTGTCACTGGCTTTAGCAGGTAGGTTACAGTAGTTCCCTTCCAAGCCGTGCAGGATACCGTACCTTACGCTACTATCTGGTTGATGAAAAAAAGGAGGAACATGAGTCATCTCAAGGAATATATCTGGACATGGCAGCGTCATACTCTGCTGGTTCCCAGCCATGAAAGAGCAGTTACCATATCTGAGGCACACCATGAAGGAAGAGCCTGTTGGGTGCATTGAAAGTATATCGAGCTATCCAGCATACAAACAAATTAAACGGAAAACAAAAAAAAATCAGGAACAAGAAGCTTTTTGGGCATTGCACGCAGCATCATATTCTGCTCCACGTGGTTCCCAGCCATGTGAGGTTAACAGGCACGTCAGGGAAGCAGTTATCCGGCGGCATAAAGGCAGACCCTGTCGGGTGCATGGAGTAAAGCAGCGCCGTGCGGGAGAAACCCGAGTTGGGGATGATGAAGAAATGGGAGGAGGCTAGCAGCAGCCACTCGGCTATGAGCTCGAGAAATGGAGGGGAGGGAGAGGAGGGAGAGGAGGGAGAGGCGGGAGAGGAGGTGGAGGAGGTGGACGGGGAGGGTTGAAGGGTGGTTTCTTCCCCACTCATGCTGTTGGCGTGGCGTGGAGTGAAGTCGGTGGTTACCACCTGTGGGTTGAGAAGGCAAGAAGGGAGAAAGGGATAATAGGGAATTGGAGAATGGGAGGATGGGGCAAGTGGAAAGTGGCTGTTGGTGTGGCGGGGAGTGAAGTCAGTGGTTACCACCTGTGGGTGAGGAAGGGAGACGGGGGGGAAGGGAAAGGAGCAAGCATTGAGGAGGAGGCGGATGGGGAGGGGATTGCATGCTGGTGTCGTCCCCACTCATGCTGTTGGCGAGTGAAGTCGGTGGTTACCACCTGACGGGTCACGGAGAAGAGAAGTGGAGGCGAACTAGATAATGCTGAAGGAAAAAGAAAAACATACACTGGGGGGCCGTTCAGGACGCTGGTGTCGGCGGCAGTTTGGAGAAAGATCGCACGGGTGGTGCACACAGTCTTGCCTAAGGAAGAGTCAGCGAGAGCGGATGCGCTGGAAAAATTGGAGAGAAACGTGCAAAGGTTTTTATTACCCACGGACGTTAACTGCATCAGGAGGAACCTGACAAGGGCAAAAGAATGGTGGGAAGACGTAAAGGTGGCCGAAGTGGACAAGAGGGAGGCATTGGGAGACGCCAGAAATCTGCCGCCGGAATTTCGGGCAGATTTCTGGCGTCTCCCCATGCCTCCCTCTTGTCCACTTCGGCCACCTTTACGTCCCACCATTCTTTTGCCCTTGTCAGGTTCCTCCTGATGCAGTTAACGTCCGTGGGTAATAAAAACCTTTGCACGCTTCTCTCCAATTTTCCCAGCGCATCCGCTCTCGTTGGCTCCTCCTCAGTCAAGATTGTGTGCACCACCCGTGTGATCTCTCTCCAGACTGCCGCCGACACCAGCGTCTTGAACGCCCCCCAGTGTATGTTTTTCTTTTTCCTTCAGCATTATCTAGTTTGATGAAGGAACGCGGGGGAAAGATAGAGTTTAGTAATAGTATGACAAAGTCCCAAGGATCGTTGCACATGAGGAAGGGCGGCAGTAGGATGGGTCGTGTTAGCAAAGAGATGGTAGTCACTTTGCAAAAACGATAGTAACCACGAAAACCTTCGAGTAAAACCCAAACGTACAGCTCAAACTCTAGTCTTAGGCAAACATGTTTCAGCATGGTGACCATACCCGTTATTGTAAGGCGCAAGGTAAGGCCTTACCTTCAACAGTGCGATTGTTTCCAGTCTTTCTGAAAAAGCCTCATCCTTTCTGGGTACTTACAGAGAGGCTTGACTTGTAAATGCCTCACCTTGTAGGGGTATTGTCTATGAGTCCCTCACCTTATCTGGGTATTGCTTGCGAATGGCCTCTTTGACTTGCATGGAGTTGCAAAGGAGCAACCACTTGACAGGGAGGGAGGAGGGGACGTGCCACTCCTGCACTCGCTGCGGGGTGGAGGGAGAACGGGGGCGGGAGTGGGGTGTGCGGAGAAACAGAACGAGCAATAAGGGAGAGATATAGCCACTTGGCAGGGAGGGAGGAGGGAATATGCCACTTTTGCACTATTTGCGGGAATGAAGTGGGGAGAGTGGAAGGGAGACGGGTTGAGGCGCAAGATAAGGAGCAAAACAAGGAGCGATAGAAAGCCGCTTGACAGGGAGGGTGGATGGAGGGGACGTGCCACTCTTGCACTCGCTGTGTGCGTTGAGGGTGGAGAACGTGTGTTGGTGTTACTTGATGTGTTGGAGAACGTGTGTTGTGGAGAATATTTTAAATTCACACACCAACACTCGCTGTGCGTGTTGAGGGTGGAGAACGAGTGTTGAAGGAAGGCGGGGTGGGGGTCGAATGGAAGGAGAAACTTATGGAGTATTTATAGTGGACTCAATTAGGGGGAAAAAACAAACGACGCGCTTTTGCATCCGGGTCCTCTTCTGTCTCCTCCCTTCCCCTCCCTGTGAACCCCTCCCTGTGAACCCCTCCCTGTGAACCCCTCACCTTACCATCGCGAACGATGGTTCCCACCATCTTCCACCGTTTCCCTCACTTGCTCTTCTGAGACTGATAAAGATGCATCCTCCCTTCCCTCAGTTCTCTCCCTCCCACCTACCAGTGCCCCTCTTTCCCCTCCAATCCTCTCCCTCACCTTTGCACACTCAAGTGTGGGTCGAACGTCTTCCATCATCTCCCCCACTCGCTCTTCTTCTGAGAGTGACGAGGGTGCATCCTCCTCTGACCTCCTCTTGACCCCGTCCCCCCACATGCCCTTCCATACCTTGGCACACTCCAGTGTGGGTTTAACCTCCTCCACCATCTCCCTCACTCGCTCCTCTGAGAGTGACAAAGGCGTCCCCTCCTCTAACCCCTCTTGATCCCGGCCCCTACAAACCCTTCTTTACCTTTGCACACTCAAGTGTGGGTCGAACCCCCTCCACCATCTCCCTCACCCGCTCCTCTGAGAGTGATAAAGGTGCATCCTCCTCTAACCCCTCTTGATCCCGGCCCCTACAAACCCTTCCTCCTCACCTTGGCACGCTCAAGAGTGGGTTTGACTTCTTCTACCATCTCCCTCACTCGCTCTTGTGAGAAAGATAGAGGTATGCATTCCCTCTCTCCCTCCCACCTACCAGTGCCCCTCCCGCAATCCCCTCCCTCACCTTGGCACACTCAAGAGTGGCTTTGACCTCTTCCACCATCTCCCTCACTCGCTCCTCTGAGAGTGATAAAGGCGCGCCCTCCCCTCCCTCCCCCCACACTGCCTTGTCCTCGAACCGAATGTGCAGACCAATGACAACCGTCCGATCGCCCCTCAGCTGCTGATCGAACGGTCGGATGAGTTGCCACACCTCAGGCTTTGGTCTGGAGGCTAGGCAAGCAGGAAGACGGAAGGAAGAACCAGGAATGGGGACAGGGGAAAGGGGGACGGGTGGGGGAAGAAACGTGATGGAAAGAGAAGGGATGATTGGCAGGTAGGGAGGGGTGAGTATGGAGGGGTGAAGGCTGGTTAAGCAATGATGAGGAGAAACAAGAATGATGGGCTGGGAGGGACGAAGAGAAGAGAGAAGTGGGAAGGGGTGAAGGTTTGTTACGCACCCGCGGCAAGCACTCGAAGCAAGCACTCAAAGCAAGCACTCGAAGCAAGCACCCGAAGCAAGCACTCGAAGCAAGCACCCGAAGCAAGCACTCGAAGCAAGCACTCGAAGCAAGCACTCGAAGCAAGCACTCGAAGCAAGCACTCGAAGCAAGCACTCGAAGCAAGCACTCGAAGCAAGCACTCGAAGCAAGCACTCGAAGCAAGCACTCGAAGCAAGCACTCGAAGCAAGCACTCGAAGCAAGCACTCGAAGCAAGCACTCGAAGCAAGCACTCGAAGCAAGCACTCGAAGCAAGCACTCGAAGCAAGCACTCGAAGCAAGCACTCGAAGCAAGCACTCGAAGCAAGCACTCGAAGCAAGCACCCGAAGCAAGCACCCGAAGCAAGCACCCGAAGCAAGCACCCGAAGCAAGCACCCGAAGCAAGCACTCGAAGCAAGCACTCGAAGCAAGCACTCGAAGCAAGCACTCGAAGCAAGCACTCGAAGCAAGCACTCGAAGCAAGCACTCGAAGCAAGCACTCGAAGCAAGCACTCGAAGCAAGCACTCGAAGCAAGCACTCGAAGCGAGCACTCGAAGCAAGCACTCGAAGCAAGCACTCGAAGCAAGCACTCGAAGCAAGCACTCGAAGCAAGCACTCGAAGCAAGCACTCGAAGCAAGCACTCGAAGCAAGCACCCGAAGCAAGCACCCGAAGCAAGCACCCGAAGCAAGCACCCGAAGCAAGCACCCGAAGCAAGCACCCGAAGCAAGCACCCGAAGCAAGCACCCGAAGCAAGCACCCGAAGCAAGCAACCGAAGCAAGCACCCCAGGCAAGCAATCGAAGCAAGTTACGCCCGTTGCAAGCAACAGCCTGAGCCCCAACCCTTCTCAGCCTTCACGTTCACAGTCCACTCCCCACTGCACAGCCGCATCCCCCACCCACCTGACAACCACCTGAAAAAGCACCTGAATAAGCACCTGAGAAGGAAGCGCAGAAAACATCCCGTTGCAAGGGGCAGCCTGAGCCCCATATTCCTCAGCCTCAACGCCCACTCTCTGCTGCCCCTCATCCCCCATTCCACCCCCACCCCGCCCCCCACACCTTCCCCTCCCTCATCCGCGTTATAAGCCTCCCTGTCCGCGTTATAAGCCTCCAGGAAGAGCCGAGTGAGCACGCCGCGGTTCCAGCGCAGCAGGATGTTGGCGGCGGGGGCGAGGCGGGAGAAGAGCGGCTGCAAGTCCACATCACGGTTCTTCAGGTTCACCCGAATCACCTCCCCTGCCTGCACCGCTGCTTCTGGAGGCTCTTCCCCTGCGTCACTGCCTGCCCCACTCCCTCCTGTACTTGCTCTCTCACTCTCAGCAGCAGCACTACCACCACCAGCAGGATTTGCACCGGCACCACCAGCAGCAGCAGGGCCGACGTCAGGAGGCGGAACGTACGTGTATTTCCTGGAAGGTTCCATGGGGATATCGTCGGTCAACCGCCAGTCAACGTGGGCGGGGTCAAAGGCTTGTGGCAGGCACGGGTGGTTGAGGATCAGGGCACGTCCGTCCAAAAGTGCTACAGTGAACGCGGCGACTAGGCCAATCAGAGCGTCCCCCAGGCCCCCACACCCGAAGAGGACTTCGTAGGTGAGGAAGCGGAAAGGGGGAGGGGAGGGGGAGGAGGAGGGGAGGGGTAGTGGTGAGAGGGGAGGAGCTGAGGCAGCAGCAGGAGCCGCAGCAGCAGCAGCAGCAGGCGCAGTGGCATCGGCAGCAGCAGCAACTGCCACACCTGCCTGGGCCTGGGCGTGCGCTTGGGCTTGTGCCTGGGATTGTGCCTGTGCGTGCCGTAGTTTGCTCTCCTCCCGCATGCCTGCATGCAGCTTCACGTACTCCTTCCACCAGTCGCCACACAGAGCTTCTGGGAACCCGAAGCGGAGGTGAGAGGAGGGGGCGAGGCGTGAAGAAGGGAGGAAGGAACCCTGATGGAAGGAGATTGTATGGGGGAGAGAAGGAGTAATAGGGCTTGAGGCTTGAGCTGAGACGTCACACAAGGTGCTCTCCTCTTTCATTTTTTAGGCGCCTCAAACCAGCGCTTTCCTCCCTCTTGCCTGCATGCAGTTTCACGTACTCCTTCCACCAGTCGCCACAGAGGTGCTCGGGGAACCCGAAGCGGAGGTGAGAGGAGGGTGTGAGGCGTGACGAGGGGAGGAAGGAACCCTGATGCATGGGAGATCATACAGGGAAGGGGGAGCAACGAGGCTGGAGATGAGGCGACACTCAAGTGCGTTTCTCTCATGCCTGCATGCAGTTTCACATACTCCTTCCACCAGTCGCCACACAGAGAGCTTCTGGGGACCCGAAGCGGAGGTGAGAGGAGCGGAGGTGAGAGGAGCGGAGGTGAGAGGAGCGGAGGTGAGAGGAGCGGAGGTGAGTGAGAGGAGCGGAGGTGAGAGGAGCGGAGGTGAGAGGAGCGGAGGAAAAAACCCTTTTGGGGGGATTGAAATGGAGAAGAAAGAGGGAGCGACAGCGGTCGAACGGATACGTGATATACAATGTGCTCTCCTCTCTCACTTGTTAGGCTTCTCAAACTAGCGGCGCTCTCCTCCCCTGCCAGTATGAAGTTTCGCATTCTCCTTCCAGTCGCCAGAGAGAGCGGGAAGATGGGGGGAGAGCGGGGAGATGGGGGGAGAGCGGGGAGGTGGGGGGAGAGCGGGGAGATGGAAGGAGAGGACGAGAATAGCGAACGATGGATGGATCAGGATCACTGACCAGCAAATCACAGTTCGACACGTCATCTCCCCGCGATAATCTCAGCAGCAGCAGCAGCAGCATCAACGCGAGTGGGCTGAGACATTGGGAGCGGCGCGAGTGGATGATGTAATAAGGCGCGGGTTGCCTAGGCGCCTCGAAGATGTTTCGATCGTTCATCGCGATTCGCGGATTCGCCACTGTCGCGAATCTCGCCGCCATCGGGATCGGTGCTGCCGGTGAACAGCAGGAGCCGCGCGAGTCATAAGATTTACAGCATAAGTATAGAATAACGCAGACTAGATGTCATTATAATACGGCATCGCGATGTTCTTCGCAATATTACGCCCGTCTCGACAGTAATAAGAACGGGGAAATAGTGGTTGTTCTAGTGGACAGGACAGAGATAGTGTCATGCTCCAAAGTTCAGACTAGAAAACCACGTCACTCACCGACACCAAATTCAACCGCATTAAAACATCTTGAAACGTTATCTGATGGGGTATATGGAAATCTGAGCCTTAGGGCGTGGAACATTGTGACGACCACGCCAAATGGTCGGATGTATGGTTGTTTCTGGCGATTGCGAAGAATTTAGGGAAACCGCATTGACTGGCACGCATATTAGTCACCCTGACTTGACCTAAAATCAGTGGTATCTCCCGTAAGTTTTTAGGGGTCTCACCCACACTATCCACTAAAAGGGAACAATATTTTACTTCCAGTAATTACCCCCGAATGTGTTTGACTCATTTCTGCTCCCCCAAACATCCCACACCGCTTTCGAATGCTTTAAGTCGAATTTATATTGGGGGTGGTTTTTAGTGGGTGCCCTACGTTCTGGCGAACAGAATCACATAGAAATCTCGCAGCCTTCGCATCTCTGTTACACCCTTCGCTTTCGCCTGACGCAACCATATGGGCGACCACTTGACATGGTCGTTACAATGTTCCACGCCCTTAGTGACCGTTGAAAAAGAAAGATGTGAGTGGAGGTCGCGAAATCTTCACGACTTTCGCAGAATCCATCGATAGGGCAACGACAATGTGTCGAAAACAGATGACGAAAGCAGCGTATGTTTTCTCACGCATTCAAGAATGTGAGGTGGTATTGGAGTTACAGAAAAGCTCTCGCCATCGCCACGACAGTCTTGCAATGGGAATGGCAAGCGTTTCAGTAGGTTTCGAAGCGGTTTAGCATGTGTGTAATGTGGTAACGACTTGATCCCTAATCTGTGACCCTTGATTTGCAGATCCAGCTTGCGTTTCCTCGATATTGTCATTCAATCTAATCGAGGGACGCAATATGGAGACAGCGACGCAAGGTGTTGTGACCTTTATTGTGAGACCGCGCCAGCATCAGTCGCTTAGATTCAGCACTGATCCCGCCAGCACGACATTAAACTCTCGCCTCGCCTCGGGCTTCCACGGGTTGACTTTCTATTACCCAGCCTAGACGTCTTTAGTATTCCCACCCCTGCTGCGCTAACCCATCCTCGCCTTCGGCCTACATTCCTACGTCCTTACCCGTTCTGTTTAACTCCTTTCAGCTCAACTCCGTCTAACTTAAAATCAATCTAGCTCCGACCCTTGTTGCGCTTCCGCGCGGAGAAGCACTCGCCGCGCCTCATGCGGCCACCGTCCTTCGCGGCGCTCATGCCGCCGTGGCGTCCGCCTTTTGCGGCGCTCATGCGGCGCTCTGTCCACCTCCTGCTGCTCCTCGTGTGCTTGTCGCAGGTAAGACGATCGGACGAGGGAGAGAGAGAGGAAGAGTGACGATCGGACGAGGGAGAGAGAGAGTGACGAGAGGACGAGGGAGAGAGAGATTGACGAGAGGACGAGGGAGAGAGAGAGAATGCGTCAGCACTCTCACTCACTCACTCACCCACTTCACTCTCCCCCTCTTTCCAGGCCTACTTCGTCAGGGATCAGCATTGGGTCGTACAGAGCTGGCACAGGTACCACCCCCCCTGGTGCAAGTGACTATATTGAGGCGCCCGAATAAGAAACTTTGCATTCTCTCCCCCTCTTTCCAGGCCTACTTCCTCTGGTCATGGATCAACGTTGGGTCGCACAGAGCTGGCGGAGAGTGCAATGAGCACTCTAAAATGCTGCTGCAACAGCGACCACAAGAGCATCAGGGGCCGCAGCAAGAAGCATGGCATGAGTCGGTGCAGAGAGGTGAGGTTGTATTCTTCCCCCTTAATGCACATGACTGCAATGAGAACTCTAAAATGCTGCCACAACAGCAACCACAAGAACATCAGCAGCAGCAAGAAGCATGACATGAGTCGGTCCAGAGAGGTGAGATTGGAAGCCTCCCACCTTGGTGCACGTGACTGCAATGAGCACTCTGTAATGCTGCTACAACAGCAACCACAAGAACATCAGCAGCAGCAAGAAGCATGGCATGAGTCGGTCCAGAGAGGTGAGATTGGAAGCCTCCCACCTTGGTGCACGTGACTGCAATGAGCACTCTGTAATGCTGCTACAACAGCAACCACAAGAACATCAGCAGCAGCAAGAAGCATGACATGAGTCGGTCCAGAGAGGTGAGATTGGACCCCTCTACCATCGGTGCATGCGACTGCTATCAGCACTCCAAAGGGCTGCTACAGCAGCAGCAAGAAGCATGGCATGAGTCGGTGCAGAGAGGTGAGATTGGACCCTGCCTCTCTTGGTCCATGAGACCGCCTGGGCCTGGGAAAGGTATGGGCTGACTCGGTGGGAGGTGTGTGCATGTGGGCTCGACGTCTCTCAACTCACCACCTTCAAATATTTGTCGCTCTGTTGCTTTATTCCCTTGCGCCTGAACACAGCAGATGGGGTTGGCAGCACAAGGCATGGTAAGGAGGTGACTTTTGAGTCGACTCAAAAGTCGTGACGAGGTGACTTTTGAGTCGACTAGGTCACTTTTGAGTCGACTGAAAAGTCACCTCACTACAGCAGATGGGGTTGGCAGCACAAGGCATGGTAAGGGTATGTGCTGACTCAGTCGGTGGGAGGTGCGTGCATCTGCGCTCAATGCCTCTCCGCTGCTCACCACCTGCAAGTATGTGTGTCGCCCTGTTGCCTTGTTGCTGTGCTGCCGTGCTCCCTTGTTTGTGCCTGAACAGTGCAGCAGGTGGTTTGGGAGAGAGCAGCAGGTTAGGCTCGCGTTTGGCTGATTGGACGGGTGTTTTGGTGGGCTCGATGCCTCGCCCCTATTGGGTTGGATGCGTGTTCATGTGTTGCCTTGTTGTTGCCGTGTTGCCGTGCCGTGTTCCCTTGTGCCTGAGCAGTGCAGCAGGAGGAGTGGGAGTGGGCAGCACAGACTCGCTTTCAGCTTATGAGAATCAGTTTACCACTGACAGGACTCTTGCTGCTGCCGGGCTGATTCGTTTGGAGCGCATGCTTAAGACGAGGATAGCTACAGTGGAGGCGATGCTGAAGAGCTTACAGCATGAGAGGGAGGGAATGGGAGAAGGGAGGGAGGTATCTGAGGAAAAGGAGGAGGGAGAAGGGGAGAGGGAGGGGAGAGGTGGGAAGGAGGATGAGGAGGATGACTTACCATCGTGGGTGGATACAGCTGGCGCTGCCGCTGCTGCCGGTGCTGCTAGTGGGAGCAGGGCCAGCAGCGTGGGGGGAAGTGAAGCAGGGAGAGAGTTGGTGGTGGAAGGGGACGAGTGGGATGAATCAAGAGCAAAGGTTGAGGGAGGCAAGGCGGCTGAGAGTGGACAGGTGAGTGGCTAAAGAAGCTTGTGAGCCGTCTCAGAAGGGAAGCAAGGAGAGAGCTGGTGGCGGATGTAGCTGAGTGGGATGAATCGAGAGCAAGGGATGGTGAAGCCATGCTGGCTGAGGGTGGGCATGGGAGATAACAAGGGAGTTTTGAACTCTGGACTTCCGTACCTCCCCAACCCGCCAGCCACCCCCATGATTAGTTTCGCGCTGAGTAAAAAAACCATATGGGAGGTTTGTTTGTTTGTTCTGGATATACTTATCCCTCCGTCTTCATCAGGCTGTGAGTTTACTCCACTGTTGACGTTACAACCCCTCCACCACCATTCCTCTCCTCCTCTCTCACCCACATCCCCCCTCTCCACTTCTCCCTCTCATCCCCTTTTCTCTCCCGCTCTCCCTCCTACTCACCCACCCCCAACCCAATCAGGTGCCCACCACCACCCAACTCAACCCCTCCCACAACATCCCCTCCTTCCCTCCTCGCTCACCCACCACTACCCTCCCTCCCCACCTCTCCCTACTCCTCACTCGCCTCACTCCCTCCCACCTACCCCCCATCTGTCGCACAGACCCGACAACCCACTCCCCCTCCCCCATCTCCGCCTCTCTCTTCCCCCCTCCCCCCCGCCTCATTCCCTGGAACCCCCACCCCCACCGCTACCTGCTTGCTACTTGCACTCACGGTCGCACCTCCAACCACCTGCTCTGCATACGACGGTGGGTCCCTACTCTCTCTTCTTTTGGGTCCCATCTCCTGCTCCATCCTCTGGAACCCTACCTTCACCCCCAACCCCAACCCCACCGCTACCTGCTGGCCACGTGCATGCATGGCCGCACCTCCAACCATCGGCTCTGCATTCGAAGGTGAGTAAACCCTGTACCTCCCGCTTTGCTCTCCTCGCAACCGTCCCCCTTCTGTCCCGTCCCCACCCCCACCCACCGCTACCTGCTGGCCACGTGCACGCATGGTCGCACCTCCAACCACCTGCTCTGCATTAGAAGGTGTGTAGACCCTGCTCTCCCCTCTTTCCGATCTCTGTTTCTTCCTTCCCCACCCGCCATCCCCACCTCATTCCCTGGAACCCCCACCCCCACCGCTACCTGCTGGCCACGTGCACGCATGGTCGCACCTCCAACCACCTGCTCTGCATCCGACGGTGGGTAGGAGTAAGCCCTTGCTCTCTTCCTCTCTCCCTCTCTCATTCCATTGCAACCCCTTCTTCGTATCCCGCAGCCTTCATCTTTCTCCCATCTCCGTCTCTCCCCTCACGTCCCACCCCTGCCGCTACCTGCTTGCCACGTGCACGCATGGCCGCACCTCCAACCACCTGCTCTGCAAGGTGGGTAGACCGTAGACCCTTGTTTTGAGACGTCTCAAAGCCGGCCCCGCCACCCTCCCACCTGCCCCTCCAGGTACCTGGCATTCGCAGCGCTGCTCAACCGCTCCCTTCTGCTGCCAGTTGTGCCTCCCACCTCTGCTGCTGCTTCTTTTTCTCAGCACAAGGGGGCATCGTTCCCTGAATAATTGTTGTGAGACGTCTCAGAACCTGTCCCCCCACCTCCTCCCCCTTCAGGTACCTCGCCTTTGCAGCGCTGCTCAACCGCTCTCTGCTGCTGCCTGTAGTGCATCCCGCCTCTGCTGCTGCTTCTTCTCAGAATGCGGGGGCATGGTTCACCCGTGGGCTCAGGCAAGGGAGCCGCGTGGACTTGGGCTCGGCTGGCTCTTTCGCTGTTAAACCCTTCTCCCACGCATCCCTCTCCTCTTCCTCCTCCTCTTCCTCCTCCTCTTCCTCCTCCTCCTCCGCCTCTCGCTCCTCGTTTCTTTTCAGCACCTCGCCGCACTCACTCCCTGACACATCTGTCAGTGGCTTACCCCTCTCGAGAGTGCAGAGCCACACTCGCAGGCGGCTTGTGGGTGGAAAGAGAAGGGAGGAGGAAGAGGAAAGACACAACACATGCACACGCAGACGGCTCCTGTTAGCAAACACACGCATGCGCAGGCGGCTTATGGGCGGAGAGAGAAGGGACACGGATGGGGGGGGAGAGAGAGGCGAGAGAGATGTGGTGGAGGAGGGAGAGGCGGGAGGGCAAGGAGGGGAACAGAGACTGTTGCATGAGGGAGACACGAGCGAGAGCCATGGTCTTCTTGCTGCTAATATGCCCAGTAGGAGGGCACTTGGCGCATCAGGTGTATCAGGAGCGTCAGGTGTATCATCAGGTGTTTTACCAGGTGCAGCGCCAGAGTGGATGGACCTGGGAGTGGCTCTGGACGTGGCAGCCCTGCAGCAGTGTGTGGGGCGGGGGCGAGTGCTCACTGTGGACGCATACCTCAGAGGCGAGGGGGTTGGGAGCGGTGGGGAGGGGTGGATGGGGAGGATGGGGAGGCTGTGGAATCAAAAAGAGGGGAGGAGGAGGGGGGTGGAGGTGAAGATGTGGTGGTGGTGGCACGGCGGCGAATCCGTGCGCGCCACGTGTCAGCGGTTCATTCGCGAGGCACCGTGGGCAAGGCTGCTACCCCATAATGATGATGATGATGATGGTGTTGATGTGGGTGCCGATGGTGCTACAGCCAGTGACAGCAACAGTGCTACTGGTGGTGCCAGTGGTAGTGGTGGTAACACTAACAATGGTGACACTAACGGTGCTGCTGCTGCTGCTGCTGCTGCTAGTGAAGCCAATATAAACGACCCAGCACATCTTGCCCGAATCTGTGCCGCAGCCCCCATACCTGCCGCCTCTGTGTCTCTCCGCCAGTTCCTCTCCTTCTTTGGCCCTCGCACGGAACAAGTCATTGGGCTGGGAGACTTGTTTGAGATCACAGGGAAGGTGGATGTGGGGGAGGAGGGGGAGGTGGGTGTGGGAGAGGTGGATGTGGGGGAGGTGGATGTGGGGGAGGTGGATGTGGGGGAGGTGGATGTGGGGGAGGTGACGGAGGAAGCCGGGAAGATGGGGGAGATGGGGGGGGAGATGGGGAAGATGGGGAAGGAGATGGGGGAGGTGGGAAAGATGGGGAAGGAGATGGGGGAGGTGGGAAAGATGGGGGAAGATCTGAGGGGAGTGGACAGATTGCGTGCAGATTTGTTGATCGAAGGTCACGCGAGTTCAGACGGTCTGCCTGGTCTCTACGATGGTCTCAACGGTGCCGTCCCCATCCTGCCGCCCTGCCGCCTCGCCATGCGTCCGCACCCCGCCGCCCTCTCCGCCGCCCACGCGTTCGCGCGGCGTGTGCTCGGCACACGCTTCGCCGCCCTGCATCTGCGAAGGACGGATTTTGCGACGCACTGCTTGAAGCCGGGGTTCCGGTGCTGGTTACCGCTGTCTCAGATCGCTGGATGCGTGGCTGATCGGATCAATGCCCTCAATGCTGCTGCTGGTGCTGCTGGAGGGAAGGAGGGGGTAGGGCCAGGTGGGATGGAGCAGCAGCAGCAACAACAACAACATCAGCAGCACGACCAGCCCGTGCGGACACTCTTCGTCGCCACAGACACCACCGACCAGGTGAGAGTAGGTGGGATGGAGCGGCAGAAGCAACAGCAGCAGCAGCATCAGCGTCAGCAGCACCAACAACCTGTGCGGACACTCTTCGTCGCCACGGATACAACCGACCAGGTGAGAGTAGGTGGGATGGAGCGGCAGAAGCAACAGCAGCAGCAGCATCAGCGTCAGCAGCACCAACAACCTGTGCGGACACTCTTCGTCGCCACGGATACAACCGACCAGGTGAGTGAAAGCGTAGAGCGTCGCACTGCTTGAGGCTAGGCTGGGTTCCGGTGCTGGTTACCGCTGTCTCAGATCGCTAGATGCATAGCTGATCGGATCAATGCCCTCAATGCTGCTGCTGGTGCTGCTGCTGCTGCTGCTGGTGCTGGAGGGAAGGAGGGGGTAGGGCCAGGTGGGATGGAGCGGCAGCAGCAACAGCAACAAAAAGAGCAGGAGCAGCATCACCAACCTGTGCGGGCTCTCTTTGTCGCCACGGATACAACCGACCAGGTGAGAGTGTCGCACTGTTGAGGCCGGGGTTTTGGTGCTGGTTACCACTGTCGCAGATCGCCCGATGTTTGGCTGATCGGATCTCCACATATACAACCAACCAGGTGAGAGCAGGGAATAGCAGGATACGATCAAGTGGTTCGCGTGCGATCAATCAACAATGCACTCTTATCCCACAGCAGCACGAGAAGCACGGTGGAGAAGATGTGTTCTGGGGCACCCCGTGGTCGGCTAAAATGCATCGCACCTGTCCATTCTCCCATCCGCTCCCCCCATCCCCCCTCTCATCCCACCTCAGGAGCTCCGCTGGTTCTCCCAGATGCTCAAATCCTTGGTGTGGGGCGAGATAACCGTAATTCAGTACCCTCGAGTTTAAGCCAGCGGTGCCAGGAGCAGCAGAGCTGCAGGCAGCGGGGATCATCGGCCACAGCAGCACGAGGAGCACGTGTGTTCTTCTGAGGCACAGTTCTCATCCCTTCCCTCGCCTCCCCTCCCTTTCCCCTCCCTCCCTCAGGAGCTCCGCTGGTTCGCCCAGATGCTCAAATCCCTAGTGTGGGGCGAGATAGCCGTTATCCAGTACCCTCGTGTCAAGTCAGCGGTGCCAGGAGCAGCAGAGCTGCAGGCAGCGGGCATGATAGGCCACAGCAGCACGAGGAGCACGGTGGAGAAGATGGTGTGTGTGCATGCTCTCGTGTTCTGGGGCACCCCGCGGTCGACATTCAGCAAGGATGTGATGCGCATGAGGGGGGCGCTGGGGGTGGCGCATTGCGGGGATGACTGGGTGTGTGGGGGGGAGGAGCCGGAGGATGTGGGGGTGAGGGAAATCAGCAAGAGGATGAATGCATGAGCTGTCACTCGTTTTGAGTTCATGTTGTGTGGGAAGGAAGCTGACAGAAGTTGTGTGTGGGTCTGGGGAACCGCAGCGGAGGGTCAGAAGTTGTGTTTTGACGTATGCCTTGGCTGGCAACCTCACAGTCAGTATTCCCATCACAAAATGGTGAAACCCTCGTCTGTCTCGCGCTTACCACATGAACCGAGCCTGACCATTCATCATTGCACCAGTCCATACACAATTTGATTTGGTGGGAATGTGCATAAACCCGTGACACTCTTCATACTGATACCCTATGTACCCTGTGATCAAAACCACCCTTGTGAATCCAAGCAAGCACCCAATCCCAAGCTCTGAAATGGGGGACTACTAAACCTCTAAGGTTAGAAAGCACAAACATAACATGACAGTTGCATCTCTCTTCTTCCAGTTGCATTTTAGAGCGACCTAGCCAAAGACAGGCTTGCCTCAGTCATGGGGGATGTGTTGTGTAAGATATTAGAATAAGCTGAAAAGATTCAAAAACTCTCAAACCTTGAAACACACATAACACGCATCTATACAGCTATACAGGTATGTGCAATTTCACTAGCTGTGCATCTAGGCACCTGGAAAGCCCCAAGCTGAGGTCCTTAAACTCCCTCCAACTCCCTCCTCCAAGCTCATCAGACCTCCATCCACCCCTCTACGCGCCGGGCACAAAGTTCTGAGCGTACGCCCACGCGTTGTTGGCGGTGGGGTCGGCGAGGTGGTCCGCGAGGTTCTCGAGGGGCCCCTTGCCCGTCACGATGGCCTGCACGAAGAAGCCCAGCGCCGACACCTGCGCGAGGCGCCCGTTCTTGAGCTCCTTCACCTTCAGCTCCGCCGCCGCGTCGGGATCGTCCGCCAGCCCCAGCGGGTCGAACGCGCCGCCCGGGTAGATCGGATCCTCCACCTCCTGGAACCCCTCCAAACCGCCCACGCGGTAGCTCTCCACCGCGCCCAGCAGCACCACCTGGGGAACACGACATCCGGTTACCACGTTACGAGATGAGCCAGAGAGTGTGTTTTGCGCAGATCGCCAAATTTAGTGACGAGGAAAAGGAAGGGACTTGAGAAGGATGTCAGCAAAAGGTGAACGAGCATCGCGACAGATCTGACGGTGGGGCCAAAGCAAGATATGTGAGGAAGAAAGAATAACAGAGCGCACATTGACCGCGAGCGTAGGAAGGGGAGCGCCACCTGAACGGTGAGCGTGGCGAGGATGCTCTGCGCGTGGATGAGCGCGGGGTTGCCCAGGTAGTCGAGCCCGCCCTCGGAGAAGATCTGCGCGCCCGCCTTGAACCACACCGCCTCTTGCAGCGGCACGCCGTTGCGCGCCAGCAGCTCAGGGAAGACGATGCCAAGCGCGCCGAGCATGGCCCAGCGCGAGTGAATCACCTCCAGCTCGCGGTTCTTGGCGAACGTCTCGGGGTCCGACGACAGCCCCGCCGTGTCCCACCCGTAGTCGCCGGGGAACTCGCCCTTCAGGTACGCGGGCGGCGCGCTGAACGGGCCGAGGAAGAGGCTGCGATCCGGGCCGTACCACTGGCTCAGGTTGTCAGCGACCTTGCTGACGGTCTTGCGCATCGTGACGCGACACTCCACGTTGCGGACCTTCGCCGCGAGCTCCGCGCTCGAGCCGACGAACGCGGAAGCGGCGGATGCCGCGGTGGCGGAGGTGAGGGCAGCCATGATGCTGGTGGGGGACTGATCACAAGCTGAAGAAGGCGGGCTGGCTGCGGATGGTAATACTGAGAGGGCAGAATATGTACGAGTTGCTCTGAGTTGGTTGGGAGGTATTTATGTTCGAGAACAAAACTCGAAATTGAGTGGTAGGGCCGGTGTTCGAGTGTGAAATCGAGGCGCGAATGAATCGCGATTCGGGATTGGGAAAATGCCAAGTTTTTGTGGTGAGGTTATTTGCGAAAATTGGTAAATGAATTAGAGCGCACCACGTCAGCTAGGGGCATTTGTTCAGATCTTTCGTTTCGCGAAATGCTTCGAACTGGGACTGGTGGTTTTGGTATCCAGCGAACTCGGTGCAGCGAATTCAAATGTGACCAAGCTGAAGATTCTATCTTCGATACAGGGTCCCTCGATGTTGCTGTAGGATGAAAACGTGATATGCGTGTTCTGAGCTTGTAACCTTGTTGCAACGAGGTGATAGTGATCAAGTTGCTAGCAGGCTGAGCTAGGGTTTCGTTACTCCCATAGCTGCCCTAAAACTAGTGGGCTCCCTAATCTAAGGAGGTCTAGTTAGGTCGTGTAGGGGGGGACCATCACTTACGTTTCACGAGGAGTAACAGAGTAGGCGAAGTGCGAAGTTCAATCTTGTTCAGGTCTCGTTTCGATTCGCGAGCAAACAGAATTGTAATTTCCAACCAGTGTTTCGGCATATTGTAGTCTGGTGCCCCGCCGCGCTCCTATTTCGACTAGCCTTCAGTTCTTTTCTAATCACTGAGCCGCCAGCCAGCTAGTTCGCACCATGCGGAGGTAAAAGCATCGGGGGTCAAAGATATTGTCGAGCGAATTGGCGAGCATAGTATTATGGCATTCCAAATTCTTCCAGCCAGATCCCTTGAATGAATAGTGAAGTCAGCGCAGCAGCGTGATCTCGCGGCAATGGCTTTCCCCATTCATGCCGTTGACTGCCGTTGCCAGTGGCAATGGACTCTCTTCACTGACATTCTCCCGTTGCTCGCTCCCACCCGTCGCTCACTAGAGCGTCACGCATGCAGGCACCGTCACACGCTCACATGTCACGATCTTGACGCCCGGGTGTGCCATACCTGGCCTCCTCGCTTCCCCACCCTGTCGCCCTTTCTCCCCACCGTCGCCCTCGCTTCCCCCCGTCGCCCTCGTTTTCCCCCGTCGGCTTTGCTTCCCCCCGTCGCCCTTGCTTCCCCTCGTCGCCCTTGCTTCCACCCGTCGCCCTTGCTTCCCCCCGTCGCCCTTGCTTCCCCCCGTCGCCCTTGCTTCCCCCCGTCGCCTTTGCTTCCCCCCGTCGCCCTTGCTTCCCGTCGTCGCCCTTGCTTCCCCCCGTCGCCCTTGCTTCCCCCCGTCGCCCTTGCTTCCACCCGTCGCCCTTGCTTCCCCCCGTCGCCCTCGCTTCCCCCCGTCGCCCTTGCTTCCCCCCGTCGCCCTCGCTTCCCCCCGTCGCCCTCGCTTCCCCCCGTCACCCTCGCTTCCCCCCGTCGCCCTTGCTTCCCCCCGTCGCCCTTGCTTCCCTCCGTCGCCCTCGCTTCCCCCCGTCGCCCTCGCTTCCCCCCGTCGCCCTCGCTTCCCCCCGTCGCCCTCGCTTCCCCCCGTCGCCCTCGCTTCCCTCCGTCGCCCTTGCTTCCCACCGTCGCCCTTGCTTCCCCCCGTCGCCCTTGCTTCCCCCGTCGCCCTTGCTTCCCCCGTCGCCCTTGCTTCCCCCCGTCGCCATGCTCCTCACCCTCGCTGGTTCCCTGCAGTTGCAGACGTTTCCCCTGCGTGACGGACACTGTCCTCACCCTGCTAGGCGAGGACATTGTCCGTCATGCTCGCTGCTTCCCTTCCCGTCGCTCACCTTTCCCCTTCTCGACGCCCACGTTTCCCCTGCCCGTCGCCTAAGTTTCCGCTGCCCGTCGCACGAGCTTACCCTGCCCGCCCCTCGATTTTTCCCTACTCATCGCCCCGTCGCCCTCGCTTCCCCTCGTCGCCATCGCTTCCCTTGCTCGCTGTCCTCCACTCTCCCCTTTTCATCGCCCTGCCCGTCGCCCTCGCTCCCCCCCCAGGCCCCCGCACCCCCTGCCTGTCGCCTCGCTTCTCCTTGTCGCCCTCCCCTTTCTTGCCCCTTCTACTTACTCCCTTCAATCCCTCCTCTGACCGCCTTCCTTCTCCCCTGCTTCCCCCCATCCTCTGCCCTGCTTCCCCGCACCCTTTGCCCAACTTCCCCCAATCTTTGCCCTGCTTCCCCCCGCCCTCCACCCTGCTCCCCCCCATCCTCTGCCCTTCCTCCCGTCTCGGCCCTGCTCCCCCCCACCCTCTGCCCTGCTTCCACCCATCCTCTGCCCTGCTCCCACCACCCCTGCCCTCGACTCCTTTCCCCATCGCCCCCACTTCACCTTATATTGCCCTCGCTTGCCCTCCTGCCGCCCGCCTTGCTCCCCCTTCTTTACCTCTCGCCCTCATCACAGCATCTCACGCCCGCAGTGGAACGGCATGCGCCTGCTGTGCGATTGCACCCTAGCATTGCTCTCGTTGCACCACAGCTCCTTCCGTCCTGCCCTCTCTCTCTCCTTCCGTCCCGCCCTCCCTTGCTCCTTCCGTCCCGCCCTCCCTCGCTCAGCCCTTCCCACCCCCCTCCTTTCATTCCTTCCTGCCCTCCCTCTCTCATTCCTTTCTGCCCTCCCTCTCTCTTTCCTTCCTGCCCTCCCACCCTCCCAGTCTCATTCCTTCCTCCCTTCCCTCTCTTATTCCGTCCTGCCCGCCCTGTCTCTTTTTTTCTCGCTCTCCCTCTCTCATTCCTTCCCGCCCTGATTTTGCCCTACCCCTCTAAATGTGATGGGTTTGAAACAGGCACCGGGAGCCAGCGGTTTCTTTTTAATGTACCTTGCAGTGTTTGCATCTCAAAATGGTGAAACCCTTTTCTTTCTCTGTACTCACCACATGAATCATCTTATAGCTTCACTCAGTAGTGGGCATCCCTTATGTCCACTTTGCCTTCGGATGTTCTCATCATCAAAGAACAAATGTTAGGTGGTTGAAATAACTCGCTAGTGTGCAGCGGAAGCCTCTAGGAAAGGTTATGTTACGAATAGTAAATTGAGAAAGAACACTGTGCACTCCCGACAGCAGCAAGCGAAGCACGCAGTACCGAGGCTGAAGACGAAAAGGCGGAATGACGCGAAGAGTCGCGTACGGTTACGAAGCATCTGGACCGTCAGGGCAGACAGCATCAGGCAGCACCAGTGGCGAGGATTCTGCCGGAGGAGTTCGTAACTGTCTGGAGTCGCACGGTTGGATTCCGATGCAATAAAGGAATGTACCCCTTAGAGTACATGGCTAGTTAGGTCGTTTCGTATTCCTCTTGTACTCTTTATACGATTGTATTTGCATGTTTTAATTCATCTCAGTCATTTTACATTCACTCTGACCTGAGGTCAAGGGCCCACCACTACCACACATTCTCTGCGAACCTTCCTGAGGTGATCCTAGGGGCGATCAACTTCTGGTCGCAACATGGTATGAGAGCGACTCGGGAATCCTTCGCATTTGCCACCTCCGAAACTCTCGGCGAACTAAGGTGGCGTTCGGCACACGCTTACGCGTAAGGATGGCCGGAGGATATGGAGGTCAGACAAATCTGACTGCTGAAGTGCAGCCCACCTCGCCTGCGACAAACGAGGAGACGATGACGATCGGCACCGCCACCCTCGCACAACTGCTTCAGCCACTTCCGACCCTGGAGCAAGGACTCCAGACATTGGGGAATGGCGACGCGAGAACATCTTCCCAACCCTCTCAACCGGCCGCGAACGGCCACGAAACCGCCCCGCACACCTTCTCCCTCAACACAAATGGCTCAACACCCAAGACTCTGTCAAACTGTATGTTTGTGTTCTCTGTAGGCTATTGTGGGTTAGCCTACAAGGGGTACAACACTTTAGGGTTAGGTACTTGTACTCATGCATGCTACCTAGTCCATCATTCCTGCCCGCTTATTCTAACATGGTATTAGAGCAGAATCGTTCCTAGGGCCCACCGAACGTTCCGCCCTGCCCTACCCGTAATTTTTTTCTTCCTACGCTGCCCCTGCAGCCGCGCTGCCCTTGCAGCCTGCGCGCTGCCCCTGCGACCGCGCTGCCCCTGCAGCCGTGCTCGCCCCTGCGACCGCGCTGCCCCTGCAGCCGTGCTCGCCCCTGCGACCGCGCTGCCCCTGCAGCCGTACTCGCCCCTGCGACCGTGCTGCCCCTGCAGCCGTGCCTGCCCCTGCGACCGTGCTGCCCCTGCAGCCGTGCCTGCCCCTGTGGCCCGCGTGCTGCCCCTGCAGCCCGCGCGTTCACCCCTGCAGCCCGTGGGTGCTGCCTCTGCAGCCCGCGCGCCGCCCTGCCGAGCCGCGCGTCGCCCCTGCAGCTCGTGGGCGCTTCCCCTGCAGCCCGCGCGCCGCCCTGCCGAGCCGCGCGTTGCCCCTGCAGCCCGTGGGCGCTGCCCCTGCAGCCCGTACGCCGCCCTGCCGAGCCGCGCGTCGCCCCTGCAGCCCGTGGGCGCTGCCCCTGCTGCCCGCGCGCCGCCCTGCCGAGCCGAGCGTCAACCCTACAGCCTGGGCGCCGCCCTGCCGAGCCGCGCGCCGCCCCTACAGCCCGCGCGCCGCCCTGCCGAGCCGCGCGTCGCCCCTGCAGCCCGTGGGCGCTGCCCCTGCAGCCCGCGCGCCGCCCTGCCGAGCCGCGCGTCGCCCCTGCAGCCCGCGCGCAACCCTAAACCCATAAAAAAAAAAAAAAAAAAAAAAAAAAAAAACTACAGCTGCTGCTCCTACTCGTGCTACTGCTGCTGCTGGTGGAGGTGCTGCTGGGAGTGCTGGAGGTGCTGCTGGTGCTGGAGGAGCTGGAGGTGCTGGACCTACTCCTGACTGTCGCTGTTTATCATGGCCACTATCGCGGCAGTTGCTGCGGCCAGGGGTGGACAACAGCGGGCACTGCCTCTCCCGGACGACCCCACCCCTCAACAGCTTCGTGAGTGGTTTTTTCAGCGAGGCAGGCCTGGTGGTGGAGGTTTTGAGACGTCGCGACTGTGCTTCTCAGCGATGCGTCCCTGGCTGTGTAGAGGTTCCTGCTCTCGCTTCTAGTGAGTCTGCTGCCGCTCCAGGTGCTAGTGAGTCTGCTGCCGCTCCAGGTACTAGTGAGTCTGCTGCAGCTCTAGGTGCCCGTGAGTCTGCCGACGCTCTAGGTGCTAGTGCGTCTACTGCCACAGGTCCTGCCTCAGCTGAGGTCTTGCACACTTTCACGCTTGACTCAGGCGCGTCACGTTGCTTCTTTCGTAATTGCACCACAGTCACACCACTCACAGCACCTGTCCCAGTCTCACTGGCAGACCCCTCTGGGGGCCTAGTAGTTGCGAGAACCTCCACGGTCCTCCCTTGTCCAGCAGTCCCCTCCGGCTCTCTATCAGGTCTCCACCTCCCCACGTTCTCGACGAACTTGGTGAGCAACGCTGCCATTCAGGATGTCTGGGTTGATACCTTTATTCCTGGAGGGCAGCGTGTGGCGATCTGTACGTGCTCCCGGACTGGCCGTCACCTGGCTACGTTCACTCGACAGCCTGGGTCTAGTCTGTACACACTGACCACTGTGTCTGCACAGGTGGCTGAGTCAGGTCAGGTGGCCGCGTCGAGTCGGGCGTCTGCGTCGGGTCAGTTAGCTGCGTCGTGCTCGTGCAGAGTACTCACGCACGAGACTCAGCGCTGGCACCACCGTCTTGGTCACCCCTCCCTGCCGCGTCTACGCAGCATGCACTCCCGTCTCCTTGTCTCTGGCCTCCCCAGGACCCTGCCCCCCCTGCCGCGCTCACTTGCCCCGCCGTGTCTTCCTTGCGTCGAGGGGCGGCAGCGCGCCGCTCCTCACTCCTCCGAGTTTCCTCCGACCACCGCTCCTCTGCAGACCCTCCACATGGACGTGTGGGGCCCGACCCCCATCGGTGGAACGAGTCAGGAGCGCTACTTCCTGCTGGTTGTTGACGACTACACACGCTACACCACAGTCTTCCCCTTGCGTCGCAAGGCGGACGTCAGCGGTGTTTTGATCCCCTAGATCCGTGCTACTCGTCTCCAGCTGCACGAGCGTTTTCAGCAGGGCTTCCCAGTCCTGCGTCTGCACTCTGACATGGGCGGTGAGTTCTCTTCTGACCTCCTTGCGGGGTTCTGTCGAGACGAGGGCATCCGCCAGACGTTCACGCTCCCGGCCTCTCCTCAGCAGAATGGGATTGCTGAGCGTCGCATTGGCTTGATCATGGAGGTTGCTCTTACCTCCATGATCCATGCGGCTGCTCCCCATTTTCTGTGGCCGTTTGCGGTCCGATACGCTGCGCATCAGCTCATCCTCTGGCCCCGTGTCTCGGAGCCAGAGACCTCGCTCACACTCCGGTGGACGAGGAAGGCTGGCGATGCGTCAGTGTTACGGGTCTGGGGCGCGCTCTCTCTTGTTCGCGATACCACCGCGAGCAAGCTCTCCTCCCGCACTCTCCGCTGCGTCTTCCTTGGCTTCCCCACTGACGCCCCGCCGTGGCGGTTCTACCACTCGCCCTCGCGTCGAGTCTTTGCCTCCCAGGACGTCACCTTTGACGAGTCGGTCTGTTTCTACCAGTTACACCCGCACGCGTCCCACCCGGTTCCCCTAGCACCCCTCTTCCTGGTACCAATCCCCCCCCCGATAGACCCCCTCCCCCCACAGGGTCCTGCTCCCTCAGGTGTGTCTCAGGTCGACCCACCCCCCTTGGATGAGCGAGTGGAGATCTCTTCTGACTCCTCTGGCCCAGCTGAGGGGGGTGACCCAGTTGCGGACGACACGGCGGCCACTCGCCGCTCTCCACGCTTGGAGACCCCCCCGGGTTTTCCGCCTCGACCGTCTTCGCCCCCTCCGCAGCCTGCTGCTGTGGACTCTGGAGCTGAGACTACACGTGCTGAGATAGAGGGTGAGGGTTTTGGAGGTGCTGTGCCTGGGGGTGCTGGTTCTGGGGGTGCTGCGACTGGGGGTGCTGCGACTGGGGGTGCTGACTCTGGGGGTGCTGCGAGTCCTAGTGGCGGTGGAGTTGTGGGTGACCCTGTTGGAGGTCCTGGAGCTGGAGGTACTGGAGGTGCTTCTGGTGCTGGAGGTGCTAGAGCTACCACTACTGGAGGTGATGGAGCTGGACAGCCACCGCATCCTGCTCTCCTTGAGACACTCTCGCCGCAGGCGGTTCGTGCGCGGGTCGTTCGGCGAGGCAGTCCTGGTGGTGGAGGGTACAGTCCTGCTGGTGCTGGAGCTACTAGTCCTAGAGGTGCTGCTGGTGCTGGAGCTACTAGTCCTAGAGGTGCTGGAGGTACTGCTGGAGGTACTGCTCGAGGTACTAGAGGTGGTGTTGGCGCTGGAGGTACTGGAGCTGATAGTCCTGGAGGTACTGCTGGAGGCACTGGAGCTGCTGCTGGTGCTGGAGGTACTGGAGCTGCTAGTCCTGGAGGTGCTGCTGGTGCTGGAGGTATTGGAGCTGCTGGCACTGGAGGTGCTGGTGCTACTGGTGCTGGAGCTGCGGGAGCTGCTGGTCCTGGAGGTGCTCGTACTAGAGGTACCGGAGTTGCCGGAGTTGGTGGTGCTGCTCGTGCTGGAGGTGCTACTGGAGTTTCTGACCCTGGAGGTGCTGGTGTTGCTGGTGCTGGAGGCGCTGGAGCTGGAGGTACTGGAGGTGCTGGAGCTGCTGGTCCTGGAGGTGCTCGTACTAGAGGTGCTGGAGCTGCCGGAGCAGGTGGTACTGCTGGTGCTGGAGGTGCTGGAGGTGCTGCTGGACCTGCT